AGGTCTCCAGCATCATAGAATCATAGAATATCAGGGTTGGAAGGGACCTCAGGAGGTCATCTAGTCCAACCCCCTGCTCAAAGCAGGACCAAACCACTGAGCCAGCCTTCCTCCCTTTCCAGAGGAATAGGGGCAGAGCCCAGGGCTAGCACATCTGGATTTGTTTGCAGTGACAAGCCGGTAGAATGAACCAACCCATCCGAGCGCGATGCACGTGGCTGCGATTTCTTCACACCAAGCTCATCCCAGCTCCTCCCACTTGGGAAATCTAAGAGCATCCAGGATTTCCAAACAGGCTGGATCACATCCTGCCCTCGGTCCCCCCAGGGCAAGTCAGGAGCAAGGCCCAGGTAGTGGAACCAGGAAGACCTTGGCCTGCAGGTTTCTACAAAATTGCACCCCCAGGACACTCACAAACGTTCTCTCCCTTGGGATTCCTATTCAGCTGGACCCCGGCTCTCTGGGGAGACACCAGGTCTCAGGAGGGGCCTTTCTGAACCAGAGAGCGATCGTCCAGGAGACACAGCTGCACAAACTGGGCTGAGCGACCCCCTTGGAGAATGGGCTGCAAGGGACAGAACAGTCCTGCCCTGAGGACGTACCTAGCCACTTCCTCAGAGAGGGCCCCCTGGTGCCGCGTTCAGGAAGCCGAGTCACTGCTCTGCGGGCAGGACGGGGTACCCCGTGTCTGTACACAGCGGGGCACAGCAGAGCCTGCCCCCCCACAGCAGAGTGGGCATGGGGGGCAGGACTGGAGTCCATTTTCAAACCGGGAGTCCCACACACGCACTGAGGGCAGAGAGCTCCTCTCGCTCCATGGCGCTGGGCTTGCCCCACCTCAACTCAGCCTTGGGCCTCGCCGTGATCCAGGAGAGCCTCCTGCCTGCGTGAGGACAGGAGCAGCTAAAATGGAGCTCAAAGCTGGCAGCTGCGCTAAGAAAGACCACGTTTTCCGTGCACGTTGGCCAAGCCCGGTGGAAACTCCACCACTCTTGGTAACCGTGACAAAGCTCACTCCTGGGTGCTCTCGCACCCATCCCCGTGGTTTCTGGGCTTGCACCCAGTTCCTGCCATGGAAAGCAGCTGTGACTTCCTCTCCAAGGCGCATTTCTGACTCACTCTTTTCTTTTTAATAGCCCTAATTCTTGAAAACAAAAGCCGCTGACAGTTGACGGCTGGCCACGCCCAACCGTTCGCCCCTGAGCCAGCACTTTCCATCTTCACCACTTCCAAGGAGGTGACACCAGTCTACGGGAACCCTCCACACCCCAGGTCTCAGTGACCAACTACCTCTCTCCTTTCTTCCTCACCAGGCCGGATTAACCTTGGGCCCAGTGCCAAATATATTTGTGGGTCCCCATGGGGGCAATGGAGCATGGCCCATGGGGTTGGACCCTGGAGCGAGGGGCCAGCCAAGGGCAGGGCATGGCACGGCAGGGGCGGCTCCATCCAGCCCAGCCCAGGGCAAGGGCACTATTTACAAACTGGCAGTTGCCTCCCACACTGGGTCTTGCCCCGCCCTGTCCTGCCAGCGTGCCCCTTCCCCTCGGGGGCGGGCCCATACAGCCCCCCCAGCCAACACCCCCCAACTCCCTATGGCCAGAGCCCCCACCCAACCCTTCCACAAATGCACAGAGCCCTGCCCACGGCCCCACCACAACTGCCCAGCAGCCCCCACAGAACCCCCACTCCCTAGTGCCCCAACACACACAGATCTTCCCCACCCCTTCACAGCCCAGCTCCCCCTAGACCCTTCAGAGACCCACTCCCGCACGCCCTGCCTCCCGGCCGCACTCATCAGCCCAGCTGGGAGGTGACTGCGTCTGCTTCTGCACCAGTCCCAGGCCGCTCAGCGCTGGGGAGACAGGCGGGGCCCCCCCAGGAAGCAGAGACTGCCCAGAGCCGGAGGCGCCCTGGGGTCCGGCCAGGGGGCGGAGAGGAGCCCTCGGCCAGCCGGCCGGAGCAAGTAATGGGTGAGGAGGAGCCCATGTGCTGGTGAGGTCTCAGCCCAGTGCAAGCGGAGCAGGCTGGGGCCCCTTCTGAGCATGGGCCCGGCTGCATGGCAGCACTGTAAACCCGGCACTGTTCCTCACAGCCCAGCTCTGTGTCACGGCCTGCAATCTCACTGCAGAAGGGACTCTTGAAAGCTTCCCATGAGAGTATCAGGAGATTCTGCCTCCCAGGAGGTGAAATTCCCCTGGGCACCAGCTCCCCAGCCCGTCTCCAGTCACACGGAGCCCCAGGCAGTGTTGACCGCCTGCAGGGGGGTGACCATCAGCCAGGAATGTCTGTGGAGCAAACTGAATTCAGCCCTGCAGCCCCTTGAGGGAGATGGGGCAGAACCTCAGAGCAATTGGCATTCACAACAAATTCTCTCCAGTCCAGGGAACAGAGAGAGGCGGAGACACAGCCCCAGGGCCACCAAGCAAGTGAGAGAACCCAGGAGTCCTGACTCCCCAACCCCTACTGCTCTAACCACTAGACTAATTTGATCCAGTGAGCGGAGTAGGGAATTGTCAGCCAGGTTCCGTAACAGGCACACCGCAAACCTGGTATCAGACCTCCCTCTGCCTCTGTTTCCCCACTCTCCTGTAAGTCGCCAGCCAGTGCATCAGTGAGCCCACTGTTGCAAAAATTAATCAGCAGTGAAATAGTGAATGCCACTGAAAGTGTCATGGTGGTCCTTCAGGTTCAGTTAACACCCCATTGAGGTGGATGGCTTGAATCATGCCCCTCAGAGCAATTGCCTGGGGCCGGCTGGATCAACTTACACTCAGCTGGTGTAATGGTTACATTCGCAACCATTAGCTGGTGTAAACCAGTGCAGGCCACTGCCTTTGGCTGACCTACACCTGCGGGGATCTGAGATCCACAGAGAGCCCCGGTGGGGGCAGCCTCTGAGGCACCGTGGAACACCCCGAGCCCAGGGTGAAGTGATTTGACCAAGGCCCCAGAGGGGAAGTGGGGGGTGGAGGGTCAGCATGAGGAGGATCTGGTTTCCCCTCCCAGCTTTTGCCTCTCCGAGAGGTCATGCTGGGACAGATGGTTTAAATCCTCATGCCGGGATGCGGTGAGGCTGGTTGGACTTTTTATTTCTTTGGCACCTGCCCGGAATCCCATTTCCTTGTTCCCAGGCAGGTAGAACATGGAGCTTGCGGTCAAAAGGAGCCAGGACAATACATTCCAGGCCATCCCACTAAGTACCGTAGCCGCTTTGCCAAGGGGCTGGGGTCAAAGTCAGGCCCACAGCCCAGCTTGGACTCCCCTCGCCAGCTCCATTTCCGAGCAATCGTCCCTCTACCCCCAGTCGGGAGTTGGTTCAGCTGGCACTGGGCCAGGCAGCCGAGCTGGAAATGTGCCTCACGGTTTCCCCACCAGCCTGCCAACAAAAGAACACTGAGGAGTTACGGAGCAGCGCCAGCATCAGATCCCCCAAGTCTGGGAAATGATCGCCATCTCCCAGAACCCAGCACAGGACCGCTCCCATCAGGGCCTTGCCAAGGGTGCTGGAGCTCCTACCCGCTATGTGGGGCGCCCACATTTTTCCTCCCGGGCCCAGTCCCCACCCTGAGCCAGCTAACGCTGCTGGAAAGAGGGCTGGGACCCTGGAGAGCCTGGTTTAGATTCCTCGTGGTGTCTGTATCCCAGCAGCACTGAGAGCGAGGTGCTGCACGCACCCGGTGAAATCCTGGCCCGCAGCGATCAATGGCAAGACTCCCATTACTTGAATTTCACGCACAGCAAGTCCCTGCCCCCAACAAGCTTGCTATCTAAATAGACAAGGCAGGCCAGGAGCAGGAGGGAACCAGAGACAGCCACGTGTTTTCCATGTGACCCTGGTCACATCCCTTATACCAAGATAGCAGCCTTCAACTACCTGAAGGGCGGTTTCAAAGGGGATGGATCTAGATTGTTCTCAGTGGTGGCAGATGACAGAACAAGGAGCAATGGTCTGAAGTTGCAGTGGGGGAGGTCTAGGTTGGATATTAGGAAACACTGATGAAGTGGGTTTTAGCCCACAAAAGCTTATGCCCAAATAAATTTGTTAGTCTCTAAGGTGCCACAAGTACTCCTCGTTCTTTTTACTATTTCACTAGGAGGGTGGTGAAGCACTGGAATGGGTTACCTAGGGAGGTGGTGGATTCTCCATCCTTAGAGGTTTTTGAGGTCCAGCTTGACAAAGCCCTGGCTAGGATGATTTAGTTGGTGTTGTCCTGCTTTGAGCAGGGGATTGGATTAGATGACCTCCTGAGGTCCTTCCAACCCTAATATTCTATGAAGATCTTCCTAGGACAATTCCTGAATTTTAGGGTCTTGAGTTGGGCATCTACGATCACTAGCCATTTTCGAAAGCTGGCCTAAAGCCTTGCTGTGCCTCAGTTTCCCCATTTGTGACTCATGATCCTTCCCTATCTCCCTAGGGGGTGCTGTGAGGATCACAATCATTCATGGCTGCCTAGGACCCAGATACCACGGTGTGGGCCCCTCCAGACCTAAGACGCAGGATCTCTCAGCAAGCAGACACATGCTGTTTTAATTGTAGGCGAAGCACATATCACATGAGGGCATGTTAGTGGTTCTACTTGAGGGCAAGTGAACGCAGCTACAAGGGAAAAGGAATGTAAAGGTGATTTCTCTCTCTTCATCATGACCTAATTACTTGGTTAAATTAACAAAACACTCCACTCAAGTTGCTCGAGAACAAAGCAGCTGCTTATAGCGTAAGGATAACAAAGTTTGATCAGGACTGAGATGTCTTGTCAGCTCAAAATTAAATCTCTGATGGGGAATAAAGAATAGCTGATCTTTTAGGGAGTGACTGACTTTGGGGGCATTCCAGGGTTTAAAGAGCAATGAGAATTAGTGAGTTTCTGTTGATCTTGCCCCAGTGGGCTGGAGAACAGGTCCAGCTGTCTAAGATTGGGTCTCAAGTAGAACCAATTGGAGCCATTAGAAACCCCACATTTTGCAAAACCTGAAAACTCACATCTGTGAAAATAGGCATTCTAGGAATTTGATGTCCATGTGCCCAGCGATTTGTCACACTTGCTTAATCATTTCATCAGAATGAATTTTCCCTGACAAGACTATAAATGTCCCATATTGATGAGAGGTTCAACATTCGTGAACTGAAAGGGACTAGTGCAGCTCTGTGTCTGTCTTATTCACGTTCCCGGTAACCGTCATAAACTCAAAAGGGGAGGAGATACTGAGAAGATTCCAAGCATTTAGAATGAGATCTCTCCAAAGTAAGTATGAACCTTCACTCGACAGCGAGATACCATAGCCACTGATTTCCTAGTAGCAAACTGCTTGGATTTATTCTAGGTGAGGGGGCTGGTAAGTGTGATTTGGTGAACAGCAATGTCTACATTTACTATTTGGGAGGTTTGGGTTGTTTGATTTAAAACAAAAAAACAAAAAACTTTTTCTTCTTCCTTCTTCCTGGTATATTTGCCTATTTATAGTGTAACCAGGGAAAGAATAGCTGGGAGGACAAATACGCATACAATTTAAGAGGCATGTGTTTTATACAGGCTGGATTATGTTTTAACAGGTAGGGTTTACTCTTAATGCATGTTATGGGTGAGTTTGCCTCACTACAAAAAAATTCTGAGAGTTCTGAGCATCAGAAAGCAGAGGCGATTTAAGTCAAAGTCTTGGTCTAACTTGAACTATAAACGCTTTAATGTATAGCTTGTGTTTATTTAGACTAAGCTCCTTGGGCAGAGAGTGGGGGAACCAACGCACTTTGCAGTGATGCTCACATGAGAACAGTTTCCACTGCAAGTTCTCCTGGGCACGGCCTGCCTCTCACTATGTGTATGTGTAGCAGACTGGGCCCCCAACCGACTATCTCCTCTGAACACAGAGAGGGTGCGTCTCCCGCTCTGCATCTGAGGCCACATCTGGATTCCTCTGCACTCACCTGACTGACTCTGCTCCTCTCTCCCCTCCCTTCACCCCCAGCTGTTCTGCCCTTGCTAGCCAGCACTGTGCTGTGTTTGGGGTGCACCATGCTGCACGCAGCTCCCCTGCCAGAGTTCTCCGGGGATCAGGATTTCCAGCAATTCCTGCAGAAGGACCTGGAATACATCCGCAAAATCAAAGGGGACGTCGCCCAGGTGCAGGAGCTTGTGGTGAGTTGCTCGACACAAACCAGTGGGAGAGGCACTGAGGGCAGCCGAGGTCTGGGGTGGGGGTGGGCCATGCAATGGACCCAGGGGCTCATCTGTGACCTGCACAAAGGGGCTTCGTGACAGCAGATGAGAAAGCTACAGCTACACCCCTCCCTGGCGATTTGGGGTCTGTCGCTCGGAAGTGATGCTGGGGGCTGCAGCCTGGCTGGAGGGGACTTTGGGGGAGCTGCACAGTGCGTTAAACTGTAACACGGGAGGATCCCTGCAGCACTGAGCACTCAGGGGTGGGGCCCTGACATTCTGATCCGGAGGCTTCATCTCTGCTGAGGATCTCAGCCCCAGGCTCGCAGACAGACAGAGATCCAGACAGACAGGCTTCCCCAGCAGCTATGCCTTGGGTTGGGCGGCAGGACTTAGCAGCCGGACAAGACAGATTGGGAGATCACTCCACGGCGTCAGACCCTTTGCTGTAGAGCAGCGTGAAGTTGTGCTGATCTTCCCCAGGGACAGATGCCTGACCAGGTCCCCACTACCTTCAGCTGGCAGGGTCACAGACAAGGGCCTTCCTGATCCAGCAAATGTAGCAAACTTCAGCCCCCAGCACGAAATACACAACAGGAGCAAGAGGAACTGTGCGTCTTCACCTCCCTCAAAGCAAGAACCAGAAACAGGGACCCATTGCCTCCCAGAGGAGTTGCAGGCTGCTCCTTCTCCTGGACAAGTGTCTTCTCAGGGACCAGGCCTGACAATTTACCCAGCCACTAGGTAGAGGATCCGTCCATGCAGCCTTCCCCTTCTGGTCACTCTGCCCCTGCCTGATGCAGGCAGAGAGCAGATTTGAGGATCGTGAACCCTCCTCTTCAGGCTTTGGACTGCAGTTTGTTTGGCCTGATCCTCATGCATTTCTGCAGCTCTCTTTCCTCAGGCGAGCAGCCCTGTTTAGTTCAATGTTACTCCCACACTGAGGTGTTTTCAGGATCGGGCCCTTAGGATTTGGCCCCAAAAACCTTTTTTCGCACTGATCGCGTTAAATTTGGAAGCAGACACTGGCCAGGCTGCTGGCCCGGGGGATCCGAAGGGGCATGTTTCCTGGAGATTACAGCTAGTGCTTGCCAGTATTTTAACCCTATGGGGCAGGGAGTCTTATTCACATAGCCAGTGGATTTGTTTGCTTTGGTCCAGTTTCCAAGGTCTCGCACAACCACGCCAGCCAATGAGTCCCTCTCCTTTCCTGCTATTCCCGGGGCCGTGCCAAAGGAAAGGACAATGCAAAAATGAAAATAGGAAAACATTGCTTGGGAAAAGGCAGGCGAGAATAATAGAATCAGCGAAAGGCAGGGCTGGAAGGGACTCCAGGCAGGACCAAGCAAACCCAGACCATCCATGACAGGTGTTGGTCCAACCTGCTCTTAAAAACCTCCAGTGACAGGGATTCCACAACCTCCCTGGGAAGCCTTTTCCAGAGCTTAGCTACCCTGATGGTTAGAAGGTTTTTCCTAACATCTCACCTAAATCTCCCTCGTGCAGATTAAGCCTGTTACTTCTTGTCCTACCTTCAGTGGACACGGAAAACAATTGATCCCCATCCTCTTTACAACAACTCTTAATACATCTGAAGCCTTATGAAGAGCAGAATAGGGTCGTCCCCTCCCATGTCTTACATACAATGCTCCTGTTAATACACCTCGGAACGGTATTAGCCTTTTTCACAACAGCATCACACTGTTGACTCGTATTCAGTCTGTGACCTGCCCCCAGATCCTTTTCAGACCACTGCCTACCCAGCCAGTCCCCATTCTGCAGTTGTGCATTGGATTTCCCCCCCCCCCCAAGTGTAGAACTTTGCACTTGAGTTCAGTGGGTAAAGTTTGCAGGGTTGTGGGTGGCGTCTGGAACACACCCTGGCCGTCGCATTCTTAGCACATACTGGGGTCCAGTAACAGCAATCGCTAGCTGTTGCCGAGGCAATACTTGGTTTATAATGCCCTCCTCCTGACTGTACCTTCTCTTCTCATCCCACCTCAGTGCACGACCCTTCAGCTCTGCAACGAGGAGGAGCTGATGCTTGTCAAGCAAAAACTGGGCATTTCCCAGGCTCCGCTGAACCAGTGTCACAGCAAGACCTTCCAAGTGGTGAGTCTGACCGCAAGGGACTACAGCACGGTCGGGGTGGGGAGTCGGGAGCAATCCTTGGGCTGCGGCCTAAGGCCCGAGCTTGTTCCCACTGACAGTGGAAGCCCAAGCTCCCGGTCGTACCGACTCCTGCCTGTGGCAGGAGCACAGGAGCAGCACCGCCACGGTGCTTCCCGGCCCGGGGGTGAAGGAAAGGCACTCCTGCCATGAGCGGCTGGTTCTCAGCTTTGGCTTCTCTCCAGCCACGGCAGCCTTCTCCAGAACAACAGCCATGGAACCACTTCAACCCTGTTCCTCTGCCAGCTTCACAGAGTCCGGACGCCTCTCGCGGCTCAACAGCTGGCCTCTCGGCTACGTCCAAAGCTGGGCTCCCAGGCCAGGGCCTGGCTTTTAAACCCAACCCTCAGAATACCCCAGTCAAAAATAGCCGGGCGGGGGCAGCGAGCTAGAAAGAGAGGGAGGCTTCCTCACAGCCCTAGCAAACGCTTCTGTAACTTGACTCAGCACTTCCCGCCCTCGCTGATCCCCAGTGGCAAGGGAGGGAGGGGCCCGTGCTGCCTAGCTGAACTTCACGGATCCGTCAGCCTGGGCTGGGGGGAGTCTCCGGCCCTTGCAGGGTCTTGAGCTTGGTGGTCACGTTTTCCAGCCCTGCTCTAAAGCCATGACTCGAGGAGAGTCCCTACCCCTCCAGGGGGAAGGGGAACTGCTGGCCTACTGCAGTTACAGTTAACCCCTTCCATGCTGCACTGTCACCGCGGCCAATGTGTTTCGCTGGGATAGACATTGCACAGGAAACTTGATGCAAACCAGGTCACTAAAGAGCTAGCACCCAGCTCAGGCCTCCTCTCTCAACTCCTTCCTTCTCGTGCCCACAGGATGCCTGCTTCAGCCAGATCCGGGATGGACTTCAAATCTACCACGGCCACCTCGCCATCCTCCTCCAGCTCCTGCCGGCTCACTCCAGCCTAGTGGATACCCTCCGGCTGGACGTCTCAAACCTGTCCACTAACATCCAGCAGCAGGTACACAGCTCCGCTTGCTCCCCCGGTGGGTGGGACCAGGCCATCAGGGGAGGCAGGGCCCCTGGATGCAGCCAGGATCCTGGCAGCCTTCACCCAGATCAGGTGGCCCATGTGGGGAGCCAGGCAGGGCAGGGCCTTGCAGCAAAGGTGAAGCTTCCCCGGGTGCGCCAGGTGCTGGCTCCACGGGGCCCCTGCTAATGCTGTTTACTGTATCCCGCTCCTTTAGATGGAGGATCTGGGGCTGAACACTGTGACGTACCCCAAGGCCGAGGGCCATGGCACCCTCCCCAGCCTCTCGTCCGACTTTGACAAACAAGCCAGCGGATTCATCATCCCCGCCAACTTCAAGCGCTTCCTGGAGGCGGCCTTCCGGGCCCTCCGCCACCTCACGCTGGTGTGAAGGGGTGCAGGGACGCGCTTCCCCCACCGCAGCCTCCTGCCCAGCGTTGGAGCCTGAGAAGTCCCATGCCTTGGGGACGCTCCCGGCTTTGAGATCTAAGGGGGAGCTTTATGGGTGGGTGGGTGTATAAGGCAAAGTCCCAAATACTGGAACTGTGCCTCCAAAATCGGGATATCTGGTCACCCTATGCTCCATAAAGGTTATTTATTTCTCATTTGTGAGCTTCACCATTGGCTGGTGGATCCACGCACACGGCCCCAGTGCAAACACTGCCCAGCTTATTTAATATTTATCACTATTTAATATTTATGGGGGTTTGGAATCCGTTGGCAGAAGTATTTAAGTGCAACTGGTCTACGGTATATTTTTAAAGTCAAAATCCATTTCCTTTATAACGAATCACAGGCAACATCATTGAATGTTTTGCAGCATCAGAAAATCCAGGAGCAGGGCCTGGGCTGCTGGATGTGCATTTTTATGTGTGTGTGCAATGTAGTTACTGTTTAATATTTAAACAAATGAGCATCTCCAGTACCAGGTTTTTGCTCTTTGGTAGCTGGACCAAGTATAAGACTGGGAACCAAAAGCTCCTGGGTCTAGTACCAGCTCTGGCCCAACTCCCCGTGGGATCTTGGGCAACAATCAGTGCCTCAGTTTCCCCATCTGTCAAATGGGGGATGCTAATGTTTACCTACCTCACAAAGCTGGTGTGAGGGTTAATTTTTTTCTTGTCCAGCCAAGGGCAAGGTCTGAGGGAGTAGGAAGTCAAAGCACCTGCAGAGAGGGGTTTGCTGGGAGCACTCAGCCATTGAGCGTGGAGAAGCTGCGCTCTGGAAAGCCTCCGGAGCTTTGGATTAGCCCCCAAGCACGGACGGAGCGCAGTACTCGGCCCAAGCCACTTCACTCCTTGCTTGAACACAAGCCTGCCGGGGGGGGCGGGTAAATGGGTCAGGGCTCTTGGGTTCCATTCCCGGCTTGCCCGCTGACTAGCTGCATGTCCTTATGTATGTTGCTTCCCTGATCCTTGCCTCAGTTTCCCCATCTATAAAAGGGGGGTAATCCCCTTTATCCTCAGATGAAGGCACTTTAAAATGTCATTTTCCTTCCTGGCTTGTGGGCAGTGCAGGGACAGAACTGGCTAATGTTGTTTTTGTTTGTAACAGTGCATTTATGCAAAACTGATTATTATTTAACAGACTTGGCAGGAGGGCAGGCTCCTTAATTAGCAAAGTCCTTGGCTGGGGTATTGCTTATGCATAGCCAGCTCACCCTCCCAGAAACCAGGAGAGCGTGATATGAATGAACCAGTTTTTCTGTAACTTTTTATATTATTTTTATATATTTATATTTTACAAATGCACAATCCACCGTTCCTCCTCGTTCACCCATTAGATTTACATTCAGGTCACATTGATTTTATTTATTATAATTTAAGTTAATTATTTACATCTTAATTCTTATTAAACTATTATCGCTCCTTTAATTTCAAATGATTTTTTGCCGAAAATGGCTCAGACGTGAATCCTACCAGATTTCTGTATGGTTCAAATTCCAGCTACACTGAATCCAACCAGTGTGGACTGGGCTGGAGGGATTGGTGTTGCCTGTATGTTTCAAAGCTGTCACCAACAGACAACTCACATGCATTTTGATATAAATCACATTGTACTAGATTAGAGGAGACTGTGCAATTCTACCTCCCCAGATGATCCAGATGAAGAATGTCCATTCTTGAATGGTTGGAGTTTAATTAAAAGAATAAATGCAAGATCTTCATTGACAAATTCTGGAGTTTTGCCTATTAGCTTGGCCAAATGCCCAGCAGAGGGGAATATTTTGTAATTGTCTTGAACTAGTTTATATTTCAATGTGTTCTATTTATTACTGTGGCTGGCTGGGCTTTGGCTCAGACCAAATCGATTTGTATTTTTATTTAAAAAAGAGAAATAAACATATTTTGGTACTTTTTAAAGCACGTGTTTGGCTGAATGTATCGGGAGGCGGGGATCCTAAGCGCTAGCATGTTTAACCAGAAATAAACCAGTCCCTTATCTAGCAAAGAGACCCCCACGTGGTTAGTTAATAGTTCTCTTTACTTGTCCAAAGTGCTCAGCTTCATGCCAGCCCATCCAGCCCAAATGCCTGCAGCTGGATATGGCCCAGCCATGGAGAATTAATCTAATATTAAACACAAGAGATGGAAGACCTGTTCGAAGGTCAAAGCCGTTTAACCCTTCAGCCCATTACAGAGCTAGACGGGGATTTTCAAAGGAGACAAAGGGAGTTGGCGCCAGCCCTCAATGGGATGTTGGCACCAAATATCTCCAGCTCCTTTGAAAAAGTTCATGCCCAAAGCTTCAGAGAGAGCAGGAGCTCCAGCAATTCAACAGCTCAAGAACCCTAGGGAGATACATCTCAGGAGCAGGGAGGGGAAAGCTGTCACCAGACCAAGGAGCACTTGAAGGGGATAAGAATCTTTCCCACGTCCTCTGCATTACCCCAAATTCTTGTCCCCTTCCTGAACACCCCTGCTCTTGAGGCTTCTGCTCAGACAAGGGCTCTCTGTATCTGGAGCGGGTGCTCCCGTGGCTCCATCTTATCGCAGCGTGGGAAAGGTAGAGCTCTGGGCCAAGGACCCGGGGGTGAAGCGTGGGAGCAGGGCTCTCTCATGTCCAGCCAGGGCAGAGAGGGTGCTGGTCTCATTCCCCTCACCCACCAACTGTACTGCACAGCGCTCAGTTAACCGATCTCAGGATAGGGGGTTCAGCCAGGTCGGCTGGGATTGAGGGGTTCAAACCTGATGCTCCAGGCATTCTGCCCCCCACAAGTGGGTGACGGAGGCTGATCAGAGGGGGTAGTCGATATCTGGATAGTGAATGAGAGCGGGGGAGGCCGTGAAGGGCCTTGACAGTGAGGATGAGCAGCGATTGTTTGATGCGATAGAGAAGGGGAAGCCAGGGTGGGATGCAAAGAGAGGGGAGACCGATCAAAGCAACAGGCGAGGAGAACAATCGTCGCAGCAGCACTCGGACTGGATACAAGTGGGGCCAGACCCGGGGTGCCTGGGGAAGCCCTCACTGGAAATGCCACAGTCAGGGCAGGCTGCAGAAGGGAGAACCGATACTCCCAAGACTGGTTAACACTGAAGTTAAACTCCCAGACCAGTCACAAACTGTGCTTCTGATCCCCCACTCTGGTTATCAAGAAGCAAAAAAGAACTCACACAAGCCCCCTTTATGGCATTCCAGTTCTCTGGGTCCCAGCCAGCACCTAGCTCCAGTACAGAGAGAAGTTATTTAAAAAACTCTGCTCACATATACAAAATGTTCTTCTGACCCCAAAGGGTCAGCCACGTCACCAGGTCAGTAGAGGTTTGGATCTTACCCAAAATACCAGGCTGCCAGCCAATCCTTTAGTGGATAAAACTAAAGATTTATTATAAAGAAAAAAGAAGAAGAGAGATATTAAACGGTAAAACAGTCACATACACACAAAGACTTCAGAGTCCATAGATCAGGTTCTTAGCAGTATTGGCAAGTTTGCTGGCTTGATATTCTCCCTGGAACCCATCCAAAGCTTGGATGGGCCATTCAGTCCTTTGTTCAGAGCTTCAGTTTGTAGAAAGGTTTCAGAGTAACAGCCGTGTTAGTCTGTATTCGCAAAAAGAAAAGGAGTACTTGTGGCACCTTAGAGACTAACCAATTTATTTGAGCATGAGCTTTCATGAGCTACAGCTCACTTCATCGGATGCATACCGTGGAAACTGCAGCAGACTTTATATACACACAGAGAATATGAAACAATACCTCCTCCCACCCCACTGTCCTGCTGGTAATAGCTACTTGTAGAAAGGCTACTCCAGAGGTAAGAAGCAGGACTGAAGACAAAATGAAGAAGATGCAGCTGCCTTTTACAGTCTTTTGCCAGGCAGTTTGATTTCTTTGTTCCAAATACAAGCTGTCCAGCACGTGGCTTGGAAGCCTTAGAGTTCTGTCCATGGGCATGCCCCTCTCAATGGGTCAGCTGTATAGCTGATGGTCCTTAATGGACCATCAAGCAGGCTCAGAAGTGCTGATGCCAAACTGTCTGGGGGGGTCACTCAGAAGCATAGCACAAGTTTTGAAATACATCCATGTGTATAACCCACAATACAACGGTGATACAAACACATAAATGAGATTATCACATCTGGCAAATGATAACATTTCTGCAGATATCTTACATGGCATATCTCTCTGCAGTTTTACAATACTGGTATTCATAATATCCTAAAGTGTCCCCCAGATTCCGTACAGCATCGCACAAGGCGTTCCCCCAATCTCCACTCAGTGCAATCAGAGCTAGCCAATCCAGCGGCTCGAGAGCTGAATCAGAAGCCGTCAAAATATAACAGGACAAGCTGGTCTGTGCCCCCCCAAGGGGTCTGCTTCCCAAACCAGACCCAGAGGCACCCGCACTGAGTGCAGGTACGGCAAGTGACCTGGCCTCCGCCCCCCATCCCACCTCCTGACAGCAGAACGACTGCACCTAAAAAATCACCTGCTAAGGACAAAAGACCGTCCCCTGCAACATGCTTAATTGCTGGATCGAACTCTCTGGGGCTGAAAATGGCCTTCAAGGGGCTGGCAGGCTGATCTGGAACAACGTCCTATTCTGCGGCTTGGCTCAAACCCTAAATAAATGATCAACACCAACCCCAGTGTGCAAAAGTCTTGAACCAGCCCCGGCACCAGAAGGATTGGTTTGAAAATTGAGGTTTTTTTTTTTTTTTTAAGAAAAGAATACAGCACACGCGGGTCTTTTTAATTTACCTTCTGGTTTTTAATCTCCAGGTTGCACTCGGATCATGTTTGCAAGCTGCTCTCCACAGCCACAGCAGCTGGAGGACTTGGGCCCAGGCATGAGAAACCAGTGAGCATCTGGACTTTTGACTTTTTTTTTTTTTAAAGAAAGGTGAGGCTCTCCCACGCTCTCTCATCTTCAAGGACCGGGACTTTACGTGAAAGCCCGAACGTTGGGTGAGTGGGCACCACTGAAGTTTAATCACAATGCCTAGCTCCTGGGCTGCCCTTTCCCCCCATACATCCCAAAGCACGTCACAAAAGCAGAGTCAGGATCATTAACCCCATTTTTATAGATGGGGAAACTGAGGCACAAAGGGGGGAGGGGAACACACACGTTAGGAGACTTTCAGATGGTCAACTCCTCAGAGCAAGGACCATCCTTACCTTTCACTCCATCCCATCCCTCAACCCACCATTGGAACTCACTGCTGCAAACACTTGACACCCCACTACGCAGAGGGGCTTTGGACTCTCCGGATGCTGCACAGTTAGGCTGGGCAGCAAACAGGCCTCCCCAGCGATTTCTGCTCCCCCTTGGGCTCCTCAGCAGGAGCTCTGCCTCGGGGGCTTCTGGCTTCAGTGCAGCGTTAAACCAATGGGGCTGCAGCTGCAGGGGATTAAACTATTGCAAAGGCCAAAGAAGTCAGCAGGGTGGGAAGACCCAGAGCAAGAGCCAGGGGATGATCAAGAGGGAGATGGTATCAGGGCCAGGCTGCTGCCCAGGCATGTAGATCCCAGTCCCCTCGGGAAGGTCACCCTGATGTACATCTAACAGAGGCAAGAGGGTTTTCCCCCTGGGAAGCCAGAAAGCTTTCCACTATTGCTACACTCCTGCCTGACCATCGGCTCAAGATAAAGGGAAGAGGGGGACTCCCCTGTCATTATTCACCAACTCCCAGCTGTTCTGAGAGCTCAGAGAGAGCACAGGCCTGATTTCTAATGGCCCAGAATAAATACAGACTCTCTTGTACAGTCTGGACTACCTCCCCTCCCCCAGGGCCAGCCAGTGGTGGGGACGCAGATAAGGGGATTGCTCCTCTGTCTAAGCCTGAGATCACATTTGCATTTGAATCTGAAGCAGACCTCCTAGGTTAAGTACCCCCAGGCCTAATGCTAACAGAGGTTAAGGCCAGGAGGAACCAGTAGGTCTCCCCTAGTAGGACCTGCTTCTAATGGTTACCCTGCCCTGAGCCCAATCACTTGTGTTTGGCTAAAGCATCTCTTCCAGAAAGGCAGCCAGAGCTGGAGTCACCGTAGCACTGCGTCCCACTGAACAGAGCCCTCCGCCACGGGAATCGGGACAAGCGATGCAGAAAATGCGGCTATGCCAACGAGATGCCACCCCACCTCCTGCGTAGCTGCAAGCCCCATTCGAGAGCTTGGCAGTTGCAACACAACGCCATCCAAGACCACCTGGCCAGAGCCATCCCACCACCCGTGGGGAAGGTCGCCGTAAACTCTGCCATCCCCGGAACCAACAGCCAACTGCAACCGGACATCATCATCACCAGCGAGGACCGGAAGAAGATCATCATGGTGGACGGCACAATGCCCTTTGAGAACAGGACCCCGGCCTTCCACGACGCCCGAGCTCGGAAGGTGGAGAAATATGCCTCTCTGGCCAAAACCTTGAGAGCTAAGGGCCAGATCCAGACACACGCACTGATCATTGGAGCCTTAGGCCCCTGGGACCCCAGTAACAAGCGAGTGCTGAGAGAATGCGGAATCGGTTAACGCTACGCTCAGCTGAGGCGGCAACCCATGGTGTCGGACGCCATCAGGTGGTCGAGGGACATCTACACAGAACACACCACTGCACATTGGCAATACCAGGAGGGATGAGCTGGAGGCCGACGAGAAGCGCAGTCAGGAAAATAACAAATACTTCCTCATGGATTGTATTTTCTAAATGGACAACCAACCTAATTCTATATATTTAATTTATTCGATATATAATTCTATATATTTTGCTTTCCACAACCAAATCTCTGTGCAACTTTTCATGAGTGATGTACCCGAGTATTCGGATTCTAATATCTAAACTGTATTGTTAAATCTCTTCACCTAAATTTGGGCTATTGCTGATTATGTACTCTGTGTATCATATAACTTTTAAAAAAGTAACTTTGTGTTTGTGGATAATCTAAGCACTATAGCC